TTCTTCTGGGTTCTCCTCCATACTCAACCCTCATCCTGTCTATATGGAATATCATTTCTTGGATCATGATGCCCAGTTCTTCCAATGAAGCATCTTCATCAGTGAATTCCTCTTCTGCTTCCTCTGCCTCTTCAGTAAGTAAGTGGCAGTATTCCCGAAGTTTGTGTGCAGCTTGTCTAGGGAGAGTGTCCTGAAGTCTTGGTGTGTGTGCATCATCTTGGCTGTTCTCCAAGAGATGTATCCTTGAGTCCAGGTCATCAAACTTGGCATGAAGGTCATTGTGAACATTAATCTATCCTGTTGTGCAGCTCAGCAAATCTCTTGTTCATCTCCATAGTTCCAATGGTTTGGAGATTGATGTTGACCACGATCATGCTCCTAATGTCAGCTGATCCAGATGTAGGAATACAGGGTTGGTCTTGAGTGTGGGAAGGAGTGTAGCTCTCTTCAAAGTAGTGCATACGTAGAGGCTCTTGGCAGAAGTTGCTGTAGGTAGTGTTTTCAAAGTACACCATCTTGATGTTTTTTTGCAACTCACCTGAAATGTAAACACTTGAAAACAGAGTTAGTAACCAAATAAAAGTAAAAGCTTGATCTTAAAGATTCTACAAACTCTAATGATTGAAACTTAGTTCCCAAATGGCAACGGCGCCAAATTGATGCAATTTTGTGAGTTTCTTGTCCCAATCACCCTTACACTAGTCAGTTGTAGTATGTGTTTTATGTCAATCCAATTGGGAAGAGTTGAAAACAGAAGAGTTGAGAGTAAAATCTCTAAGTCAAGCAAGTAGAGAATTGGTTTTGTTGCCTAAGCAACAGTTCTAGCAACCTAAGTGAAACAAGCAGCAAACAAAGTGAAAGCAAAAGCAAACTAAGCAGTTTTAAGCAAGAAAAACAGAGCAAAACAGAGCAAATCCGAGATTCAAATAAGAGAAAGGCAAGTTCCTAGATGTGGTTATTGACTTTGGGGAATTTCAGACATTAACTAAGGCTGTTTCAAACTACATTGATCAAGCAAGTAAGCAAGCAATGGTGATTCCTAGACATAGAGTTCACAATTAAGCTAGTTAGATCCAATCTCTTGGCAAATAACCCTTTGCTAAACATTATAACAAGAACTAACTCTCATTAGTGCTAAAACATCAAGCAAGCAAGATTAAACAACTCTATTCAAGTCAAAATGCTCCTCAAACAGTCAATCTCTTGAGCCAAAGTCAGCAAATCCTCTATTAAACAAGATCAGCATTTCATCAAACACTTGGTGGGCATAAGAGAAAGCTAACAACTTAGACAAATTTGATCAAGACTAATCTAGCATGAATAACAAATTAATAGAGAGGAACCCATAAACTGAAGCACTTAACAAACCTTAATCAAGCCTTAAATCCCCCTAATCTACCATATCTAGAAACACTAAGATAACTACTCACTCATAATCATGTTTAACACCAAATCACAAAGGGAAATGATGCTAATCATGATTAAAAAAGAGATTAAAGAAAGATTAAAGCAAATACTTGATTATATTAAACAAAGCAAAGAAATTGTCTTACAAACTTAAAGAAAATGCTCAAGAACAGTATTTTGACAAGACATGTCGAAATCTGGAAAAAGAGGCTATTTATAGCCTAGAGAAGAAAGCCCTACAGTAATGGCAAAAGCGTAATCAAAAACAGGTTCGGGCTAGGTCAGTATCAGTCAGTTGCGTCGGTCTTCAGTGACCGAAATGGATCCCTATCGGTCTGGAGTGATCGACACATATGACCGAAATCCATCCGGTGTGTTTGTGTCGATCACACTTGACCGATACTGGTGATCGATACTGCTCCGTATCGGTCATCCTTGATCGATACTCTCTGTGCGCTGACCGAAAACTTCTGCAGAGATCTTCTGCTGTGATCCTTCTTGCTCCCTTTTGCCTAGCTAGCATCTTGTATCATTCCCAAAACTCCTCCAAACTCCTTTTAGCTCTAAAAGCACCTAAAAACATCCAAAATGCAAACTATACTCTAAATGCAACTTAAGTCTAAAAAGAGAAGAAAATGGAACAAAAGCTAAGGGAAAACATGCAAAAGAAGACCAAAATATGTACTAAATGTAGCCCTAAATGGTGTAAATATAAGGGATATCAAAACCTTGATGAGATATCACACTTAGATAAATATAAGAAGTTAGCAGTAGAGATTTCAGATTTATTGAAGGAGCTTGAACTGGATTTAAGAGATTGCTAAGCTTGTGATGATTAAACTGAAATTTGATCTTCTGTTGGCTCAGTGGTAAGTGGATCCGAAAGTGTTAATCAATGTGGTGTTCCTGATGTTTAGCTGACTGTTTCTGTTTTCAAACCTTGACCATGCTCTTTGTCTGATGTTTGCTTGAGGGCAAGCAAAAGCTAAGTCTGAGGAGTTGATATATCATGGTTTTTATGGTTTTTAACCATGGTATAAGTCTTTTTTATTGAGTCTTTTTGGTCTTTTTAGAGTCCTAGTAGAGTCTTTGCAGGTTATAGCATGTTTGAAGCATAATTGGAGATATTGGAGCTTTTTGGAGCATTGCAATAATCAACCATGAAGTTAGCAACTCGGAGGCATTATATGAGAATTGGTGACAATCGTCACCACTCAAGGGTGACGCTCGTCATCCACATCTGAAGAGGATTCACGACTTATCTTAAAAGATGGAGGAGAAATTGCATTTTTGGCCCTTAAGTTCCATTATTTGCAAGAAGACCCCAACTCGTGTTTTAGCTTATATATTAGGTTTTCAGCCATTGTTGGCTCTTATCTCAGATTTTAGAATTCATAGAGCTTTAGAGAGAGATTTATTCAGAGTTTTTGGGGAGACATATCCTGTACTCTTTTAGAGAAGATTTCGAACCCCTTTGTCTTTTACTCCATCTCTTTTAATGCAGTTTTATTCAGTTATGTTTTGTGTCTTCATGATCATGTCTGAGTAATCTGTTAGTTAAGTTAGGTCTTTTCAAAGGTTAACGAAGAGTTTGTAGAATCTCTAACCTGTTAGGAATATCTATTGATTCTTCATATGTGCTTGCATTCAAAACCGATTTCTTTGACTAGTCATCTGGAAATTAGAAAACCCTAGGTTGTTTAATAGATGTGAGAACATTGTTAGTCACATGAACTTGTATTAGATGAGAAAAACGCATATTTGCAAAGAGATTTGACTTAGGAGTTTTGTGAACAGTCGAAACCTGATCTTTAATGCTTGCTTAACTTGTTAGAATTTGCAAAGAGATTTGGAATTATGTGAATTAGGCACAGATCTTCTGCAATGAGAATTGATTAGTTATATTATTGAGTTTTGTGTTTAAGACGGTTTTAATTTATTCCTGCTTGCATGCATTCTACAATCTCGGATTCAACCTGTGAATTGTCCTGACTTATCGCCTTTAGTTTTCTGAAACATAGATCAATCAACAAATTTCGTCTGCTTTCATTTATTCTGCTATTTTGCATTACATACACTACTGATTGGTTAACTTAATCTGAACTTGAATTCTATAGTATAGTTTACTTACTCCTTTGGGATTCGATAACCCTTTATACTATAACTGCATTGCTGTGCACTTGCAGTAGTTTTATTTGGGTAAAACCTGAGCTCTATCAGTCTATGCTCAGAGCCCCAAAGTTTTATGTACTCCATATTTATGTGGGAAAAGTAATGAAGCAATTCTTCATTACCAACTGCTCCGTCTTCCAACCCAAGAGAGTGAATTCCCTTTAAACGGGAAATCTAACATCCCACAATCATCAAGCATCGTGCGGAAAGGGATAAATGAGGCTTCTTCTCTCCTTCTTCCTCCCTGTTTCTCATGGTTACCTGTGATCTCATTGAAATCTTCTATCATAAACCATGCATCTTGGAGGTTTTGTCTCATTCTAATAATTCGCTCTCAAACCAATTCACGGTATTCAACAACTGGATCACAATAAATAAAAGTCATATATATTTTATGTCTTTCAAAAGAAAATACAATGTCGATCATTCAACTATCCAAATAGGAGATAATAACATGAGATTTATCTATATAAAAAAAGGGCTAGACCACCATTTCTGCCTTTCGGCTCCACAATACAAACATGGTTATAACTAGAAGAAACTTGCAAATTTTGCAGAAAAAGCTGATTGTTTTTTTGTTTCTGATAAAAATAAAAAGCTAGGTTTGTAAACAGAGTGCAATTCTTCAAGATACTCCTTTGTCAGGTCAGCACTAATGTTTTGATAATTCCAAGCTAAGACGTTCATCTAACCGTTTTAGGGATGACCTCGTAACTGGCTGAAGTACCTGAGGTACGTGACGTTTTTATTGCGGTTTGGGTCACACTTTTCTTTTTCTGAGGCCCATTCTTCTGCAGCCCAGATTTTTTTTTCTGCTGCCCAATATCCTTCTTCTTCGGCCCATCATCTTTTTTTCCAGCATCTTTTTTTGGCCCAGGCCCGCCTGGCAATCCCTTCACCTTCGGCGGATTTTGTTTCCAAAATTTTCGGTTGACATGTACTATAATTGTCCGATGATCTCTGGCTAACAAATTGATCTAATCAATTGGTAAACCCATTTGGTCTAACCATCCTTAGTCGTCTGCTCGACTCGGCCACGCTTCTCGTACTTCTCAGCTAAGTAGGGGTTATTGGTTCTTGTATTTTGGTGGATTTATAAATCTTCTTTGGATTTGATAAATTTATTGATTTCAAAATCAGCAAAATAAAAAAAAATCAAATCCACTCAAATACCAAGGTTAGACCTTGTATTTGGGTCTTTGTATTTTAGTCATGAAAATCCTTCCAAATCTATTCAAATTCAATTAAAACTCAAATACTTATAATATTTAGATTCTAAAATGATAAAACCAATAATACTGTATTTCATTATGGATTTTAAAATCATAGAACCAATAATACTGTATTTCAATATAAATTTTAAAATATAAGAACCAATAACACTGAATTTGGTTTGGATTCTCTAATCAATTAAAATACAAGAACGATAACACCTCCTAAGTTGACGATTGTAGACCAAAATTCTTCGAAAAATATCTGAAATTCCGACGGTGAATCGAGAAATCTCAGATTTTACGGAGAGAGGAAAAAATTCACGATTTGGAGAGAGGTTGAAGATGATCGATACATATTAGATTCAGTGATCGTAATTCAGAAAACACCATGGATAAGGAAACGGAGATTCTGTCCCGTCTCGCTGCGAACCACCTTCACCTAGCTCAATTTGAGCCGTTGAAGGCTACGCTGCTCGCTCTCAGGGTTCGTAACCCAGACCTCGCACTCACGATTCTCCAGACCATCGTCTCCAACGCTGGAAGATTCGAGAATGTCCTCTGGTCACGGTCCTGCCCTTCCCCGTCTCTTCTCGCGTTCCTCTCGACGATTGAGCTTCTGCGATTCGAAACCCCTACTGAGCCCTGGGGATTCGATTCGGAGACTCTAAGTTTGCGAGCGGATTTCTTGTTGATGGTCCAGGTCTTGATCGACCGGGTTTCAGAGAGGATTAGGGATGAGCAGAGAGTAGAGTTAGAGAGTGAGGAAGAAGAATCGGAGAAAAGGGATGAAAATGGTGGGTTAAGAGACTGTGTACGGATTTTGCAGGGTTTTTTGGATTTAGGAGTTGAGAGGTTGAGATTTGATGTTGATACAATTAGCAGTGGAGGAAGTTATATGATTGAGGAAGAGGAAGTTGTGTCGTTGAGGAGTATAGTATTGGATTACTCTGATGTTTTCGATGCTTTATGCTGTAATATCAAGAGGCAACTTATTGCTTCCGAGAGTTATGTGACAAGTTTGGTGGATGAAGCTGAGAGAGAAGAAGAACAAGAAACGGAGAGAAACGAGGCGAATGGGATTGGTTCTCGAGAGCAGGATAACAACAACGTGTTTGCTTTGATACAGAGAAATGTTCAGTTAGCACAGTTGGATGCTATGAGAAAGAAATTGGATGAAGGGGATGAGCGAGGTGCGGTTGATCGCATACGTTATCTTCACCTTGATTATGGAGTAGACAAAGAGAATTATCAGTATGTGCTTGATTTATTCAGTCAGCAAATACATGAGGTTTATGATAATATTAACTGCGCGACTTGTTTTATATTGCTTACAAAAAAAAAGTCTTGATGGTTTTGGATGTTTTTCACTGTTTTCTTTGTCCTTATTGTTCCCTTGGCATTCATTTCTATGTTTATTGTCTAAAGAGTGTTTGCAAGGATATAGGCCAAGCATGAAAGCGGGTTGATTACATTCTCTAATTCTGTTTGCTTATCTAGTATGTAGTAATACATTTACTGTTCCTTTTAATAGAACTAATCCTTTGATCATCTTCAGTAAACTCTGAATGTTGGAGAACGTATGTTAAGAGAAGTACACTTAAAAAGACTGGTTTTGTTTTCACTGTTTGAGTGGATTTGGCATTTCCTGTTTTGATGATATTGAGAACCGGACTTGGGGAAGGAGCCGAGGTCTAGACTGATGACTAAAAAATGGTTGTTTGTTTAGAACAGAGCTTTTGGTTTTCATTTCATGTCCGTGAATCTCAATCCGTGGAAAATGTTTATGTGATACTGAAAAGGGAACCTTATAAGGATCATGACATCAATGACCTTGCATATTTTATTCAATTTCTTGTTTCAATTTCTGTCTTCCTATTCCTGGGCGCTTATGTTTGCATATTTAAGAATATAGAACTGACTACAATTAATCTGTTTTCTCTCTTCTTTTCGGATAGTGCTGTTCTAAAAGCTCTCCTTTCAAGAGTTATGGAGAAAAAGGATGAATATGGTGACTCATGGGACATGGTGCGCCAGAACTTGCTGTTTATTTACAAAGAAGCTCTCTCGTCCAATTGCGGAGATCTTGTTCTGATGATTCAGGTTGTTATAAATTTCGTAAAAGCTGATCTAGCGAATCGTTATCATTAAAAGGAGGTTTCACATGTCAACTATATATGGTACAAATTGCTAACCTGAAAAAATAAACAAGCTGGCTACAGATCCTGCTAATGTGTACTATAGCTAATTCGCTGTGAATTAGGAACGTAAAACCGTTTTTTAATCTTGATCATGCTGGAATTGGAAGCTTTTATATCTAGTTGGCGTTGTTCTTTTATATACATTGTGAATATTTACCCTGGAGATAGTTTAGTTCAGTGGTCGTTTTGAGTTTAAGGATATATGCTTATTTGTGTATATTGGAATGTGATTTACAATGTTTTACTCTGCAGGGTATTCAAGATGATATGCTCCTCCCAGATAGCCAGCTACATTTATCTCTCGACAATGACCAACTTCCACTCCCTCTTGAGTGTTTCCGGCGATATTGTGTAGAATTGAAAACTGAGAGAAATATGGAGGACAAAAGTTCCCCTATGAACAGGGCAATTAATTCGTGCCTCAGAGACATGTATCATTATGCTCGTATATCTGGATCACATGTGCTTGAGTGTGTGATGTGTGCTGCTTTGTCTTCCGTAAAGAAAGAGAAGCTTCAGGAGGCTAATGATGTAGGTGGAATAGAATAAACTTACATATTTTCGTACTCATTTATCTTACTGCAGTACAGTTGATTGGCTGTTGCCCCCATCTAGACGCTTTTTCTCTATGGGGATCTGAAAGCCTCTTCTGCTCATATGTTACAGGTTCTTACTTTGTTTCCCCGACTTCGCCCATTAGTAGCTTCCATGGGTTGGGATCTGTTGCCTGGAAAAACTGCAGCTCGTAGAAAATTGATGCGGCTGCTTTGGTCTAGTAACTCACAAGCAATTCGGTTACAAGAGTCTTCTCTTTATGGAGACCAGAGAGATGAAGTAACTTTTTATCTTTTGCACAAACTGTTTTTTGGATTTATTATATATTTTGTAGAAGATGACAGTGAAAGCCTAACAGGACATAATGATCTGGGCAGAAATCTTGTGTGGAACATCTCTGCGATACATTATGCTATCAATTGGACCTTGCATCTTTCGCTGCTTGTATCAATTCTGGTAAATCATGGACTCCCAAGGCATCTTTCCTGATGCATGGTAATGTGTCATCTGAGGATGATGATGCGGAGGTGGATCCTTTTGTTGAAAATCTTCTGTTGGAAAGGCTTTCGACGCAGAGTCCACTTCGGGTATGTATTTCTAAAACTATCTCCACTACAGAGACTATGTTTGGTAGTCCCCCACAGGAAAACCGTTCTCCAAATAATCTGTACAAATATACATCTCAAGCTACAATGAGATTTAGTGTTGGCGATGCAAATGTCTGTAGATATCATGCTGGCTACATTCATTTGCGTACAGTAGGAATGCTGTCTCTTAGGGAAGAGAGAGACGTAAAATATGAAGAGAAATAGATTACAAAAGGATATTGCAGCATATGTTACTATGGTGTATACTCAATACTAAACAATGATGGGAATACAGTGGCATTTTAATTCCATTTTGGATAAATATACAAGCTATCATGAGGGTTAAGATATCTGTTTCGTGAGGTTTTGTTATATTGTTACGAAGCAAGGACATGTATGAGCTGCATAGTTAACAAAAATGAATTTTGATAGCTCCTGATATTCAACTAGTCTTTTTTGGTTATGTCAGCTGTTGGAGAAATCAAAGAATATACATCTTTCTTTCCTGAATCATATATCACTTTTCATTCTGCCCTATTGAAATTAGCAATGTATTTTGAAATAATGAACCTCGTCCGGAAGGACACTGAAATTGCCATCAGTTTCAATCTAAATTTTGTTTTTGCCACTGAATTTATGAGTTTGCTTTTTAGTTTTTACTTAGTATGTCAAATCACCATTTATGTATCATAAAGTGTTTTTGAGGTTATCTCCACAGGATAGATTTGAATGTTTGCCTCTTTCTCTCCTCTTTCCACCTCTTTGTTTTTTCGTTCAATCGTTTTTTGTCAAGCTACGTCAAAATTTATCAACTAGGCCCTGTTATAGAATACACTGCGGCAGTGGCATGTCTTATTTTTTTTTGGTATGCTCATGTTCAATTCTCTCTGCTAGGTTAAATGATAGTGGTACTATTATCAATGGGTTTATTATCCTCTGCACGTGTTCTTAGTGTCTTAATCCGGACAAGTTGTAATCGCGTGCCGTTATGTAGGTGTTGTTTGATGTTGTTCCGGGCATAAAATTCAAAGAAGCTATTTCACTGATTAGTATGCAGCCTATTGCTTCAACTGCAGAAGCCTGGAAGAGGTCAGTTCAATCAAAGTTTATATAGCTATGTTGTATACAAATACTTCAATCGGTTTTATCTTTATGCTTCCTTGGTTAGATGTATTAGTGTTTAGATTCTAATATTGTCCCCCTTCGTTTATATGCACAATAGTTGTTGCATTAGCTCCCTGGTTTTTGTCTGTTTGTTAATTTCGATGCAGTGTTTTGTAGAAATAATATGTGCATTCGTAAATGCACCTTTCCTTTTATTTTGCGGGGATGACTCATTGGTAGTCGGTGGTTTTACCTTTGATGTTTTTGAACATTGTAGGATACAAGATATTGAATTGATGCATATGCGTTATGCTTTGGAGGCTATTGTTTTAGCATTAGGTGCAATGGAAGAGGCGATGAAAGATGAGACGGATGCTAGTCATCGAGTGGTATTTTACCATTTAAAAGACCTCGCTAGCCATTTGGAGGCTATTAAAATTTTCCCACGCAAGGTACTATACATCTATACATTCGTTCATTAACAAGAAGTTGGGCTTCTGTCATCAATTTTGTCTGTACTTACACCATCTTGGAAAAAATGGAATTGGATACTTTTTACAGTGAGAGAAATTATACAAAAGAAAAGTATATGCCTCATACTACATCTACACGTAGTGCGATTTCTTTCAAACAATATATTTTTTCAATGTGTTATAGTCTTGATATTTCTTTTAACATGAGTTCTCTTTTGTTTGCAGATTATGATGGTCAACATAGTAATTTCGCTCTTACATATTGATGATATTCGTCTCAGTTCGACCCCTAGCTTGGATCCTGGCGATCTTTCTACAGAAGGGGAAAATGAAATTGTTATATCTTTCACAAGAAAGCTACTCAATCTTTTACGCCGCAATCTTTCATCAGATCTGACTGAACAAGAGTGTCAACTGGATGGTAATTATAGTGCTGATGGAAGACGGGCTTTAGAATGGAGAGTATCTATGGCTAAACGTTTCATTGAAGATTGTGAATGGCGGTTATCTATTATGCAGCATCTTCTGCCACTTTCTGAACGTCAGTGGGGTTTCAAGGAGGTTTTGAGTGTTCTACGGGCGGCCCCTGCAAAACTGCTTAACCTGTGAGTAATGTTCTCCAGTGTTTGGTAATTTAGATTTTATGCATCAGGAAAAACTGTTAGCCACCTATTTGTTTCTTCCATTTCCACATCTAAAATGTTAGGGAACCGAATTGAAGTGTCTCTAGATCCTCCGAGGATGTTTACGTACGGAAACGTCAAAAGATCAGTCTATCTGTTTCTTTGCATTGCGAATTAAATGATATTTAAGTTGACGGAACTAATTTTTCTAGATTCAGTGTGTATGGACGCATAGATGTGTATGCAAATATTGAATAGTTGTTAAGTTTTCTGAGTTGTGTAACCTGTGTGATGAGAGGACTCAGGACTGAAAACCTGGAGGTATGAACTTCAATTTTCACTAGAGGTTGTTATTTTCAAAAGAAGCTGAGCTTATATCTGCGTTTTCTTACCACCTTAATATGTTGCAAGAGAACAAGAGTTCTAGCTGTGCAGATGAAATAGTTTATCAATTAAAACTTCTGGGTGCAACTATGTTTTGTGTATCATTACTTATTAGTTGTTTCCGTTTTGTCTCTGCTAGAGTTCCCTAAATTAAATTATCTTGAGTGATACTTTGCTTCCTCGTGCCAGTTCTTTGAGATATTAACTCTCATTTTGCAGATGTATGCAAAGAGCTAAGTATGACATTGGGGAACAGGCAGTTCATCGGTTTTCATTATCAGCAGAGGATAAGGCTACTCTTGAATTAGCTGAATGGGTGGATAATGCCTTCAACAGAACATTGGTATATTTCGTAATATTACCTCACAGTTCTCGCATATGTATCACCTTATATGTCTCAACTTCTCGCATAATGGGATCAGAGTATTCTGATGGTTTGAGACCTCTTTCTCATGCCTTGAGGATTGTATATTGTATACTCTTCTCGTGCTCTTGTTGTAGGTCGTTGTGGATGCATCTATCCGATGCTATTTTAGGGGGTTGCGTTTATTCACCTATATCTCCATTTCTTATTATTCTCAGGTAGAAGATGTGATGTCTCGTACTGCTGAGGGAGCATCTCCCGTGCAAGATTTAGATTTTCGTTCTTTAGGCTCTCAATTGAGTCCATTGGCTGTGGTAAGTCCATGTCGTCAAGATTCTGATAGGACTTTCCTGCAACTAATTGCCTTGCCCACCACTAAGCAAGTCTTAAGTTACCTTTTTGTGATGCCAGATTCTACTATGCATAGATGCGGCTGCTTCTTCTGCCAAGTCTCCAACAATTTCCAAACAACTTTTGGATAAGGCAAGCAGTGTTCTTGATTTCCATGTGCTTTAACTTGGTCTATAAACAGTAACCTTTTGGTTAAGTTTTACTTCTTTTGTGTACTTCATCTCTGTTCGCAGTGTCTAGATTTGCTTTGGGAATCTTCTATATATTGGCATTCTCTGTATATTTTTAGTGAAGTTTTTTGAGAATCTGGTTTATCACACATCCTTATACATTTTTGTATTGCTTTGTGGACAAAGCAAGCAAGCTTTGGAGGTAATATTTCTGTTAAAGTTGAGGCATGGTTTTGCATATAAATCCGGACAGTGTACCGTTATTATTAGATATGGCTAGTTAATATTACTTTTAAATTCTTAAAAGTTAGGCTGCTCCATTGAATTAAAAAGGTTTTAGAAATTCGTACTGTTCTTTCTAAGTAGTTTTTACTTTGTATGCAGTCTCAAGTTATGTTATCCGAAATATATCCTGGAGGATCTCCAAAGGTGGGGTTTACTTACTGGGATCAAGTCCACGAAGTTGCAATCATCTCTGTATTGCGAAGGATCTTAAAGCGTCTGCAGGAATTTCTTGAACAGGTCAGTCTTCAAGTTGAATAAAAGGCACAACTTTCGTTTAGTTTGATATGAGATTGTTCTTACTTTTTTGCTTTATTTATTTATTTATTTTTTGACAGCTGCTTTATTTTTAATTGATTAAACTGCCTAGTACAAATCGTAACAGTTTTATTTTGGATGATATTTTTTTCAATGCCTGGCTGCTTAAGAGAGGGAAATGACAAGCCTAAATCAGCTGTTATGATTTTAAATTAGGAAGTAGTATGTGAGTGCAGAAATATACCGTCTTTTACCATGTTATTCTCTCCCAATACAGAGGAAAAGTTTGTAAATTCTGCATTTATGTGCATATTTGAATTACCAGGCGCACAAAAACGTTTTAAGATCCTTCTCTTTTCTTGTCTTATTCGCGGTTACCTTTTTTACTAGCCTCCTGAACTGTCATGCTTCAGGATAACCCTCAAATTCTTCAAGCCAGTTTTAGTGGTGATACCATCATTTCATCTTCCACGGAATCTCATAGACAGGGACAAAAAGATCGTGCTCTTGCATTGCTACATCAAATGATTGAGGATGCTCACAAGGGCAAGCGACAGTTCCTGAGTGGTATTTTGTTTTCTCTCTCTCTACCTTCTCTATCTGTTCTTGCTGTTTCATGCAATTGAGTTATGTGCTCTTTACTAATTATGTATTTTTAGACCTTTCATGGAGTTCTAACTGGGCATCTAACGAACAATAGGTAAGCTTCATAACCTGGCGAGAGCAATCACTGATGAAAAACCAGAAGTAGACGTACTCAAAGGGGACGGATCAGACATGGCCATTGAGAAAGATGGAGTTCTTGGTCTTGGGCTAAAATATACGAAGCATAGTCCTTCTGGTTCATCAAGTAGAGATGTGGATGGAAATTTTCTTTCCCATGAAAGAGAAGAGAAGGGGAAGAGGTCATTTGGCCCATTAAGCAACAAAACCTCTACTTATCTATCTCAGTTCATCCTCTATATTGCTGCTATTGGTGACATAGTAGACGGCACTGATACAACCCATGATTTCAACTTTTTCTCTCTTGTTTATGAATGGCCTAAAGACGTAAGTGTTTCTTGCCTTTTTGTTCTCAGGATATCTGTCATTTAAAATGTCTTCCTTGTCCTTCATACTGTGGACTAGTGGTCTAATTATGTATTTCTACTTTTATTTGGAGAAAAACCACTGAGTTTCGATTAGCTTGATTCTGTTAACTCGAGCTTTTTATATTCATGATGAGTGACCTCTTATGATCCTATGATGTTCTGTTTGATATTATCGGCCTCTGTGTGGTAATTACTAAACATGAATCAGTGCGGCAATGTAACACAAATTGACAGTGAATCCAGTACTCTTTTTGGGCAGAGATCTGTGGTTAACCTCCTATTGGTTGGTCCATGTTTCAGCTATTGACGCGTCTGGTGTTTGATCGAAGTAGCACAGATGCAGCTGCGAAAGTTGCTGAGGTCATGTCTGCTGATTTTGTTCATGAAGTGATATCTGCGTGTGTTCCCCCAGTTTATCCTCCACGTGCTGGTCATGGATGGGCTTGTATTCCCGTCATTCCAACAATCCCATCTCCTCACTCGGAAAGTAAAGTGCTCTCTCCTTCAAAAGAGGCTAAACCCAACTGTTACGTCCGCTCCTCAGCAACACCTGGTGTCCCTCTCTATCCTCTTCAGTTAGATGTAATACGGCATTTGGTAAAAATATCCCCTGTACGAGCAATTGTAGCTTGCGTATTTGGTGGGAGCATATTGTACAACGGCAGTGATTCATTCATATCTAGCTCCTTGAACGATGAGTTTACAAGTTCTCCTGATGCAGACCGATTGTTTTATGAATTTTCTCTTGATCAATCTGAGAGGTACTGTCAAAGTATTCGTTCCTCCTTTAAATTTAAAATCAACTCAGTTCCTATGTTCTATCAGATTGTTTTTGATATTTTACCTTTTTCTTCACAGGTTTCCCACTTTAAACCGATGGATACAAATGCAGACCAACCTTCATCGAGTTTCTGAATATGTTGTGACGCCTAAACAAACACCTGATGACACACAGATTAAACCTGATGAAAGAACTGCGATCAAGAGACTTCTTGAACATGACAATGACTCGGAGTCGGATGCGGAAGAATTTTTTTCTAACAGTAACATTCAACCAGCAATGACAGACAGCAGTGCTCGTGATGGTCGACCCTTTGAAACTGGAATTGGTAGAACTGATCCTACAGTTTTCCTTTCTTTTGATTGGGAGAATGAAGTACCATATGAGAAAGCTGTAAATAGGTATGTCAATTTAACTCATATGTCTGCTTCTTCTTTTGGTTCGATAGCTAGTATTGTCTTCAAGATTGAAATTTTAAGTACGGTATGGTTTATCTTTATTGGATTTCGTTATTTTGAGATTATAAGGTGTTTTTGTTCGAATTTATGCTAGATTAATTGATGAAGGAAAACTTATGGATGCTTTAGCACTTTCAGACCGCTTCTTGCGGAATGGGGCTTCTGATTGGTTACTTGAGCTCGTAATCAAAAGTAGAGAAGAAAATCCTTCAACATTAGGAAGGTCTCAGGGATATGGAGGTCAGAGCAACAGTTGGCAGTATTGCCTGCGGCTAAAGGATAAACAGCTGGCAGCGACACTGGCTCTTAAGTAAGTAAACTAATAACTTTTTATAACTACCATGAACTGCAATATAATCTATTTATTATGTTACTCGAATAGAGAGCCAAAGATTGGTTTACGCATTTCATTTTGGTTCCTGGAAAATGAGTTCGGCCATGCTGACTCAGCTAATGTTTAGATGCGACCATTAGTATGCACTTTTTTCTATGTGGTAAATCTCATTTTTATTGATTTGTCCTCCATGCTATCCAAACACAGCGCTTTCACCTCACCCATAACTAGGGGATAATTGATAAAATAAGATTAGCATCTACTTCCAGTATCGGAAATATAAGAATCAATTGCTATAGGTTCTTTGATATGAACAGCTAGGTGATGAGCAAAATCAACTTTGATGATATTTAGTTTTTCCTAAAGTCATTATGTGGTGAGGCAATGATGTAGAGAAAAGAGAATATGGTGTAAATAGAGGATTTTATATGAGCTCTATGTCAGAATAAGATGGCTGTGCTATAATTCAGAGCGATTTGCTCCACTGAGTATCTAGATTTTGTGGTTAGTTTTTGTGTCAAAACTAAGGTCAGATTACAATGATGTAGAGAAAAGAGAATATGGTGTAAATAGAGGATTTTATATGAGCTCTAGGTCAGACTAAGATGGCTGTGCTATAATCCAGAGCCATTTGCTTCACTGAGAATCTAGATTTTGTGGTTAGTTTTTGTGTCAAAACTAATGTCTTACAGATTACACTATCGCTTTCATATGATATGCTGTCAGTGAAATTTATAGGCGCCTCAAGAGGTTTTAAACCATGTTATCCAGTATTTCTTTTGCCTACATAAATATGATTCATTGGTAAGTTAAATGCTTCGTGCTAAGACATTCATACTTTCTGTTTCTACACTCAAGGCTGCCAAATATATTTTGCTTGTTTTTTTATAGCTCTGTAAACACGTGTATAATTTGGGATTGATGCTTGCTAGTAGACTCAGAAAACATTGTTTATTGCTGTCTTATTAGAAACATTTACTTGCAGTTTTGTTCTGTCCTGGATCGGGATTGAAACTCTGGTACGTCTTGGTTTCAGGTATATGCATACGTGGGAGCTTGATGCGGCTTTAAATGTTCTTACAATGTGTAGTTGTCATCTCTTAGAAAGCGATCCAGTTAGCTCTGAGGTAAAGGGGACTTTTGCTTTCAGTTCTAGATTCCTGCTTGGAACTTAAGTTTTCAATAACCCTATTTTTATCTCATTTTTCTTTGTGCATCTAGGTGTTGCATAGGAGAAAAGCTCTGCAGAAATACAGCCACATACTTTCTGCAGATGATCGCCATAATAGCTGGCAAGAGGTTATGTTTCTCCTTTTTGTTTGAGAGCAATGTTTCGATATTGGTATGCTCGAGGTGGCACTCTTAAAATTCTGAATTGGAAACAGGTAGAAGACGAATGTAAAGAAGACCCTGAAGGCTTGGCTTTAAGATTGGCTGGAAAAGGAGCTGTTTCTGCTGCTCTGGAAGTTGCTGAAAGTGCAGCATTATCAATAGATCTTAGAAGAGAATTACAAGGAAGACAGCTTGTAAAGCTTCTAACCACTGATCCACTCAATGGTGGTGGTCCTGCAGAAGCGTCTCGATTTCTATCTTCACTTCAAGACTCGGCTGATGCTCTGCCAGTTGTTATGGGTGCAATGCAGTTATTACCTGACCTTCGGTCAAAACAGCTCCTGGTAACAACTAATTTCTTCTTTTTTCATGGTGTTACGAGGTCAAATTTCGCCTTTTGGTTTAGAAAAATGTTTGTTTTATCTTCTCTGTAGGTCCATTTCTTTCTCAAGCGAAGAGATAGCAACCTCTCGGATTTGGAAGTTTCCCGGCTTAATTCCTGGGCTTTAGGTCTGAAAGTGTTAGCTGCATTGCCGCTTCCTTGGCAACAGAGATGCTCTTCGCTTCATGAGTATCCCCATTTAATATTTGAAGCTCTTCTGATGAGAAAACAACTACAATATGCCTCACTGGTATATCTAGAGACAATCTTCTTTTGAATTTTCTGTGATTTTTTCATTTCGCTACTTTGCTGCATAGTATCTCTATCCTTGTTAATGTACCTATGAAACTCTCTGGTTCATGTCTATATGTATTTAGGAAAAGTGATTTCCACTATTCTACCTTGCTATGATCGCTCTTGATGACTTTCTGAGACTTCTTTGTTTCCTTTCAGATACTCAAAGAGTTCCCAGCATTAAGAGATAACAATGTTATCATGGCCTATGCAGCAAAAGCTATTGCTGTTACAGTTAGCCCACCACCACCAAGAGAACCTCGAATAACTGTGTCTGCGTCACGGCTAAGACAAAAGGCAAGGGCAGGGCCAGCAAAAGCATCCTTCACTAGTAGTTTAAGCAATTTTCAGAGAGAGGCTCGACGAGCATTTTCATGGACTCCGCGTAATACTGAAAACAGGACGACGTCAAAGGATGTTCGTAAACGAAAAAATTCCGGGCTGGGGCCACCTGAGAGAGCTGCTTGGGAGGCGATGACAGGTATTCAAGAGGACCAAGGGTCATCTTATTCAGCAGACGGACAAGATAGACTACCTTCTGTTTCTATTGCAGAAGAGTGGATGCTAAGTGGCCAAACAACCAAAGATGAAGCTGTACGTGCATCTCACAAATATGAAAGCACCCCGGATATTACTCTCTTCAAGGTATTGCTATCCTTATTTACTCCTGTGGTAGTGACTGTAAGCTTCGGTCTTTCATGACATTGCTCTTCTTCTAGGCTCTGCTCTCACTTTGTTCAGATGAGCTAGTATCAGCAAGAACTGCCTTGGACTTATGCATCAATCAAATGAAGAACGTATTGAGCTCCAAGCAGTTATCAGAGGCTGCATCTGTTGAAACGATCGGCCGAGCATATCATGCAACAGAGGCATTTGTACAGGTATGACATATGTACTTAAATTCTTTCACTTAAATCATATTTAGAAGGTGACTTTTATATCAGGGACATACATGGTCGATCTTGTATGTGTTATAATTCGCTTACCTGAGAGTGGGGAGTATTGTTTCTGATTTAGATAGCTAAAAAAAACTTTCTTTTCCTGTTTTTGCAGGGTTTATCTTATGCTAAATCATTGCTGAGAAAGCTTCTAGGTGCCTCTGAATTGAACAGTAGCAATGGTGAAAGAAGTAGAGATCTTGATGATATATCTTCTGATGCTGGGAGTTCCAGTGTTGGCAGTCAATCAACGGATGAATCATCCGAAGTTCTCTCACATGCAGAAATTTGGTTGGGGCGTGCAGAGTTGCTGCAGAGTCTCCTAGGGTCTGGTATTGCTGCTTCTCTTGATGACATTGCTGATCAATTGTCATCCGAAAGTCTACGAAACAGATTAATATCTGAGGAACGGTATAGTATGGCGGTTTATATGTGCAAGAAATGCAAGGTAAAATTTATAGCTGGATTCTCTACCCCATCGTAAGGCCACTTCATCGCAATAACTTCTGCTTGTGTACCTGATTTATTTCAGATTGATGTTTTTCCTGTGTGGAAAGCATGGGGTCTTGCTTTGTTGCGGATGGAGCGCTATGCCCAAGCTCGAGTCAAATTCAAGTATGTAATAGTTTATAAGCTGTGACAAAACAGATGAATTGTAATCCTCATTTTTACATATTTCAACCTCAGGTTGCGTGCAATAATACAGTCCTTATTCTGTGCTCTATAGGCAAGCCTTTCAATTAAAAGGGGAAGGCACACCTGATGTCATTCAGGAGATAATAAATACAATAGAAGGAGGTCCACCTGTGGATGTCTCAACCGTTCGTTCCATGTAAGTGTGTCTGTTTGACTAAAATTGCTATTCTAAAATATGGGTTAGTCAAGAGCTTCGTATTGTAAATGTCTTGTGAATCCAGTCACCAGTGAAGTGTTTTGATCAATATAAACTTCAGTTGAACATATACATGATGGCTTAGATGTGTTGTAAGCACCTAAAAACAGCTTAATGAACTAAGAAGATCTAAGGAACTAAAATGGATAACACAATCATAATCAATGTTAGTGGAAGGGGAAAAAGTAAAATGTTTGGTACCCCACCAATGACTTTATTCTGGGGACTGTTGTTACATGTCAGGTATGACCATTTGGCTAAAAGCGCACCAACAATTTTGGACGATTCTCTATCAGCAGATTCATACTTGAATGTTCTCCATATGCCGTCCACTTTCCCTCGTTCAGAGAGGTCGAGGAGATCTCTGGAATTAGAAAAGAATAGTTCTGTGCCTGGTTCAGACTTTGAAGATGGGCCCCGAAGCAATTTGGATAGTACTCGCTATTCTGAGTGTACCAACTACTTACAGGAAGTAAGGCCATAATATTCTAGTGCATTCTGGAATTTGCAAGTTTGCTCTGCTGGATTTGCCTTACAATTAGCATTAATGCAATTAGCATTATGTGCAAGCAAATAGGTTACATTTTACTTTTGTTTTGGATCATTGAATGTGTCTTCTTATTCTGCAGCATGCCCGCCAAAACCTGCTTGGTTTTATGTTCCGGCATGGTCACTTTAAAGATGCATGCATGTTATTCTTTCCACCAAGTGCTTTTCCCCCTCCTTTGCAAACTTCATCTGTGGGCGCAGTAAGCTCGTCTTCATCACCTCAACGAACGGATCCATTGACAACTGAATATGGGAGCGTTGAAAGTTTGTGCGAGTTTTGTGTTGGTTATGGAGCTATCTCATCCCTTGAGGAAGTAATTACAGAAAGACTTGAATCTGCAAAGCACCAAGATCAAGCCATAAATCGGTACATAGCCGGAGCTCTTACACGTATCTGTGTTTTCTTCGAGACAAACCGGCATTTCAATTACCTATACAAGTTTCTGGTGAGAACATCTTTCTTTTCATGGTTCTTTGTCTACAACTTATTATTGGGTTGTTTCTACTTGAAATTTTTCACCTTAATTTAATAGTCATGTAGACAGATAGGTAATCTCTGCGAATACTGGAGTACAAAAGTGTGCATCTTATCCCAAAATACTCAGCTAGTCTTGTTCTCTCTGCTTTACACTTCCTATCTTGCAATTTGAACCAGAAAGCCTAATCCTGTGCTTAAAATTAGTATCTAGTATCCTTAAAAGTCCAGATCCTATAGTTTAACAGATTTATAGTATGTATTTATGACTATGGCTGTGCATTTATGGTACTTGTACTCTGAGTTTTAATACGGATGCAACACAAAAGTTCTTGTAATATTGTGTTGTTAATCTTCGCCTAGAAGTGTTCTTTTCTGTTTCTTGAAAGACAAGCAAGTAGCTTCTAACACTGTATGCTACATCCTAGGAGACTCGTTTTTTTCTTCTTGTGAAACGTAATGCTAATTCACTCAACTTTTTTCAATGTTCAGGTACTCAAGAAGGATTATGTCACCTCTGGGTATTGCTGTATTCAGCTTTTTATGAATTCTACCACACAGGAGGAAGCTGTAAGGCATCTCGAGCATGCAAAGGTATAAAGTCCGTAGCTCTTTCCCCACCACCCATTTCTTCTTGTGTTTAGCAATGTTACACGCAACATCCATCTGAAAATGCTTCACAACTAAGTGAATCCAAAGTATGCTAGTTTACCCATAACGGAGGAGCCGCCCCCCCCACCGGGCAGGCGGCCACGGGCATGCATTTCTGAAATGTTCAGTAACAGCACTGCTCACCACACTCACAAGGACTTACAGTTTTGTGTGTTATACACACATGATTCATATACGTGTCTTCTAGATATAGCGTCTTTGTGAATTGCAGGTTTTTTGTGTGCAGTAATAATTTAAGCATTGTAAAGTGGTTTAGAGTCGATAGAAACAATTAGGCAAATATTTTATGAGTTTATGGCAGTATTTCATTATGCTCCATTTTCCGTCTCCAAAAGTTATGCAATTATCCGAACTAAAGCACTTCTAAAAGTTGCATGGACTACATTAAGACAAGTTTTTTGGTTACTTACAGGTTAAACTATCTTACTCATTTGTGATATTTAGTACTTACAAACAGCAATATAAATATACTAAGCTCATGAGTTATATATTACCTCTTGTTTTGGGGCTTATACAAAGAACAGCCCTGCAATCACAAGCATGCCAGTGCTGCACAAAACTATGATAACGCCTATGTTGCTTGTGTCTCTTCTTATTTTTGGGTATAGGCACACTTCGAAGAAGCATTGGCAGCACGTCATAGAGGTTCAGAATCGAAAAAACTTGTTACGAAGGGTGTTAGAGGTAAAGGTACCTCTGAGAAGCTGAGTGAAGAAGCTCTTGTTAAGTTGTCCTCTCGGGTGAAAATGCAGGTAACGTTTTTAACACTGTTTTTGTCATCCTTTTGAAGAAGGGCATTATAGTTTTTTAACTCCACTTTTCACGTCGTGGGTTCATTATTCCTATAGATTGATGTGGTAAAGTCCTTCATTGACTCTGAAGGAGCACCATGGAAGCTGTCCTTGTTTGGAAATCCAAATGATTCAGAGACATCCAGGTTTGTCCTCAAAAGCTAATTTATAAAAGAACATTCTTGCCATCGTTTGTTGATATAACTTGTTTCCCTATAATTGTTTAACAAATTTTATAATATCCTTGCATAAGTTTAAGCAATATGTATCTGTAGATTATAATATATAGTGGAAAGACAGAGAACTAGTAACAATGCCAAACTGACCTGTTTTCCTTACTGCCCTAATGATCTCGTTCCACATTTCTTTGGCACTTCAAGAGAAACGTACCTAGTATGACAAAATCGTTTCTAGCTTTCTCTTCACACATCCATGGTGCCTGTCAATTAATAGCCGGGAATATGTTTCCATTGTCCTTGAACGATGTGCCTGCTCCTAATAAAACTGAAAGACCAAACTTTATGATAATATTTGCTTTGGTGAAAGCTTGAAGAAAAATCTTCAGCTGATATGTCTTCTTTGCTCTTACTTTCAGGAGAAGATGTGAAATTGTAGAGACCCTTGTTGAGAAAAATTTCGACTTAGCTTTTCAAGTTATATATGAATTCAAGCTATCAGGTGCCTTATTTATTTTTTGTTTTTTAATATCTATGAAATGTTATTGTGCGTAGTATCTGACGTTTCCCTTATTCTAAGCAGCTGTTGATATATATGCTGGTGTCGCTTCATCACTAGCCGATAGGAAGAAAGGAAGTCAATTGACCGAACTATTCAAAAACATTAAGGGAACAATCCAAGATGATGACTGGGATCAGGTATTGAACACTAACAGACTATTAGCGTGTAACATAAAACCCTTATTTGGGAATTCGGAAACAATTATTCAATTATTGGCCAGAAGAATCTGTTTCAAGCAACATTCTTCCTTGTGAATCTGTTTGAGAGTGTTTGGTATCTGCATGTACCTTTTTATACTTACATTTGGTAAAGTTCGTAATTGGTAAAGCTTATAAATTCTGTAAAATGTTGCAGGTCCTGGGTGCTGCGATCAATGTATATGCTAACAAGCACAAAGAGCGCCCTGATCGTCTCATAGACATGTTAACAAGCAGCCATCGGTAAGATCTTTATTCACAAAATCACTGTTTCATAGATGTGCTCTCATTGAACAGCACTGTATTATTATGCGTTTATCATTAGGCTGATACACTTGTGATATGTGAACGAGTGCAGAAAGGTGCTGGCTTGCGTGGTATGTGGCCGCCTGAAAAGCGCGTTCCAGATCGCATCCAAAAGCGGTAGCGTGGCTGATGTTCAGTATGTAGCTCATCAAGCCTTACATGCTAATTCTCACACAGTACTCGGTATGTGCAAGCAATGGCTAGCCCAAAACATGTAAAGACCCTGTAATCTCCATGACATCGGTTCAAGCCAACGTGAAAACTTTTGAGGTAAACATCTATTTTTTTTTAGCAGATTAGCTATTAGTCTTGCAAAAAAGAAAGATTGCCTGACCGTATGAGGTTTTTGCTTTGAACTTTGAGAGCCTGGTGGAAAATGGTTGAATCTATCATATGAAGATCATTGACCGATGGTTTTCAGTTGCGAGATTATGGGCTCTGTGTGGTAAAACACAAAATAGAGAAAATGCAGAGGTCGGGAACTTCTTTTACAATTTTTTGCAGTTGGGTTTTCAGAATCGATCTATATTGTTTTTGTGTTGCGAAATAAAATGGGAAGATTTTATAGAACAACTCGAAACAAAGATTTAACAAAGAAAGAGTGTAACTTTCATTGAAAAGATGTATTGTCTTGTCTGTATATGTTTTTCTACTCCATAACCTTCCAGCAATTAACTCTTTTCCCTGCTACATACTCTTATTGGAAATTACAGATGACAAAAGAGTGGTACTGAATTAAGGAATTCACTATTGTTTTCTATAGCTAAAGCATTAAATTATTTTGTCATTACTTTTGCTCACCATACCCTTATGCGCGACTAATATTCGAATCACTTGCAACAAATAATATAATTGTTTCTGCTTAATTATGTAAAGTTATAAATATATTCATTTATGGAGTGAGTTTGATTGTTCATCTAATATTTCGTGCCTTTTCGGTTTCCGAATTCTAATGGCAGTTTCTCACTATTATCTCTGAAAACTTAATAGATGTCTACGAACAACACCAGTTCCGAACTGCTTCCAACCCCAAAATTACTGCCAGCCTCGGAATTTACTCGTCCGTCGACTTTTCACTTAGCCGGAAACCTTACTCTGTCACCACTGTGCTAACGCCGTCCGTGGTTGATAATTTGCTCTTCGCGGTCGAAATTTCTCTAATCTCTGGTGGCGATTATCGATGCTCCTCTACCCCGTCTTTGTTTTGCGATTCGATGTACTCTATAAAGTTTGCTCGAACGGAAGATGAATCCCCCCATATGTGATCCCACTTATCCTTCAAACAAGTCCCACACAACATGCAATTGAGTACATATGTTTAATTTTCATAGATCAGTTTTGCATTTACTGCCGTTGGGGCTTTGCACATATTACGATATATCGCATCCTCCTTGTTATATAGACATCCATTAGCGGTAGATAGACCACCACATACATCGCTGATTAAGCGCGGTTTTGTTTACTTATGGCTATACACCTGGGATGTAGACATCCATAATCTGTCATAGAGTGTTTACATTTTCATGTAACCATGTAGACTAATTCTTTGTTTTCTCTGTTTGTTGGTAGGGATGGAATCTAACACGCCTCCTCACCGTCTATTCGCTGATCACCAAAAGCCAGTTGGTGACCGAGTGAATTCGTACTTCAAACTCGACAAGCTCGGGGTTATCCTAAAAGCCTTCACACCTGACGAACTTTCTCTCATTCGGCCGTGCTTTGGGAAGTTGCTCGAAATGTATCACAAACCCGCCCACTCCGGCAAACTCGCCCATTTTCTACTGACACGGCAGTTGAAGACCAAGAAAAAGCATGAGCTGTGGTTCATTTTCGGCGGCAAGCCGGTCAAATTCTCTATCTGCGAGTTCGCGATTGTCACAGGCCTAAACTGCAAACCCATTTCACCCCCTCCTCGGGAAATGCTGAAGTGTAAACCCGGAGAAGTCCCATACTGGTTCACTTTATTCGGGGGTGACGAAAATGTTGATACATGGGTTTTACCCCTTGTAGGACAATTGCCCTAGCTTGTACTAGTCAGTTGCAGTATAGCATAGGGTTGTATCAATCCAAATGGGAAGAGTTGAAAGACAGAAGAGTTAAGAGTGGAATCTCTTAGTCAAGCAAGCCAGGAAAGGGGTTTTGTTGCCTAAGCAACAGTTCTAACAACCTAAGTGAAACAAGCAGCAACAAGGTGAAAGCAAAAACAAACTAAGCAATTCAAAGCAAGAAAAACAGAGCAAGCAGGTAAGCAAGCAATGGTGGTTCCTAGATGTGGTTATTGACTTTGGGGAATTTCAGACATTGATTAAGGTTGTTTCCAACTACATTGATCAAGCAGGTAAGCAAGCAATGGTGGTTCCTAGACATAGAGTTCACAACTAAGCTAGTTAGATCCAATCTCTTGGCAAATAACCCTTTGCTAAACATCTTAACAAGAACTAACTCTCATTAGTGCTAAAACATCAAGCAAGCAAGACTAATCAACTCTATTCAAGTCAAAATGCTCCTCAAACAGTCAATCTCTTGAGCCAAGGCCAGCAAATCCTCTATTAAACAGGTTCAGCATTTCATCAAACACTTGGTGGGCATAAGAGAAAGCTAACAACCTAGACCAGTTTGATCAAGACTAATCTAGCATGAATAACAGATTAATAGAGAGGAACTCATAAACAGAAGCACATAACAAGCCTTAATCTAGCCATAGATTCATCTAATCTACCACATCTAGAAATCCTAAGGTAACTACTCACTCATAATCATGTTTAACACCAAATCACAAAGGGAGAAGATGCTAATCATGATTAAAAGAAAGATTAAAGAAAGATTAAAGCAAATACTTGATTATATTAAACAAAGCAAAAAAATTGTCTTACAAACTTAAAGAAATAGCTTAAGAACAGTATTTTGACAAGACTTTTCGAAAATATAGAAAAAGGGCTATTTATAGCCTAAGGGAGAAAACTCTAGAACGGTGGCAAAAGTGTAATTAAAAACAGGTTCGGGCTGGATCAGTATCGGTCAGTTGTGTCGACCTCCAGTGACCGAAATTTATCTGTATCGGTCAACAGTGATCGACACACACGACCGAAATTAGAACGGTGTGTTTGTGTCGACCACATCAGACCGATACTGGTGATCGATACTGCTCCATTTCGGTCACCAGAGACCGAAAATCACCAGGCTCTGACCGAAAACTTCTGTAGAGATCTTCTGCTTTGATTCTTCTTGCTCCCTTTTGTCCAGCTAGCCTCCTGGATCATTCCCAAAGTTCCTCCAAGCTCTTTTAAGCTCCAAAAGCACCTAAAAACATCTAATATGCAAGAAAAAATGCAATATATACTCTAAATGCAACCTAAGCCTAAAAGGAGAAGAAAATGGGACAAAAGCTAAGGGAAAATATGCAAAAGAGGACCAAAACATGTACTAAATGCAGCCCTAAATGGTGTAAATACAAGGGATATCAACACCCCCACACTTGCCTTTTGCTTGTCCTCAAGCAAGTAAGAACAAATGGGAGAGTGAGGTTTGAAAGTGGGCATTCAGATTCCAAAAGTGCAAGGGTAAAGAGATGGTTTTAATGCTCAAGTGCCTAGTTGTAGGATGCAAACACAATCAGTTATACTTAAAAGAACCTAGCCATGCTCATCATGTTTCAAAATGATCTCAAATCTCAACTTAGGCAAATGCTCAAATCAATCAACTCTTTAACATTCAATTATGTTTAGAACATGAATCATGCTTATGCAAATCAAGTGAAGACATTTGGTTGAAAAGGGGTAAGGTTATAAGACAAGAATGATCTCATTTAAGCACAGGGTTAAAAACATAAAAGATCACTCAATGAAATGACTTCATCTTAGGCAAAATGCTAAAGGTAAAAGCACACTTATGCATGCAATTCAAAGCCCTCTTCTACCCTTACTTCCCAAAGATGAGTCCTAAGCATTTCTAAACCTAAAAGTGAACCCTCTAAGTCTACCCTTTCCTAAACTCTACCCTTTTCTTTCTTCTTATTCATGGCTGGGGAAACCTTCTTCATTCTGCTTGTGTGGTTGCTTCTTCTTGGTTGGGACTTGCTCTTCTTTATTGTAATGGCACCTTCATCACCTTTGGTGGATTGCTCCTGGTCTGATTTTTCTTCTTTGGACCCTCTCTGAGCTTTGTTGTTGGCGCCAATTCTTCCTTTTGAACTTAGAGCTTTTCTTCCCTTTGCTTAACCACAATACTAAACTGTTTTCCCTTTATCTACCATTTCAAATCTTTCCCTTTTCTTTTCAAAAGATAAAAAACATTAAGCTCAAAACACCTAACTCTACCCTTTCAAACCCCAAAAACTCCTATCCTAGAATCAAGCTCAAGATGCAAGCTGATATCTACAAGAGAGCTAATCATTGCCAGCCTTATTCCTAACACTTTTTGGCAAGACAAAATCGAAAATGCAATGCAAAGGCCTCACAGCTCTCACAATAGTGTTTAGGCTTAAAAGGAGGTTTTGGTTAAGGGTGATGATGTAACTGTCCAAGACCCATGCGCTCAAACGCAAATTAGGGAGATGAAACAGAGCAAAACAGAGCAAATTCGAAATTCAAATTAGGGAAAGACAAGTTCCTAGATGTGGTTATTGACTTTGGGGAATTTCAGACATTGATTAAGGTTGTTTCAAACTACATTGATCAAGCAGGTAAGCAAGCAATGGTGGTTTCTAGACATAGAGTTCAGAACTAAGCTAGTTAGATCCAATCTCTTGGTAAATAACCCTTTGCTAAACATCTTAACAAGAACTAACTCTCATTAGTGCTAAAACATCAACCAAGCAAGACTAATCAACTCTATTCAAGTCAAAATGCTCCTCAAACAGTCAATCTCTTGAGCCAAGGCCAGCAAATCCTCTATTAAACAGGTTCAGCATTTCATCAAACACTTGGTGGGCATAAGAGAAAGCTAACAACCTAGACCAGTTTGATCAAGACTAATCTAGCATGAATAACATATTAATAGAGAAGAACCCATAAACAGAAGCACATAACAAGCCTTAATCAAGCCATAGATTCACCTAATCTACCACATCTAGAAACCCTAAGGTAACTACTCACTCATAATCATGTTTAACACCAAATCACAAAGGGAGAAGATGCTAATCATGATTAAAAGAAAGATTAAAGAAAGATTAAAGCAAATACTTGATTGTATTAAACAAAGCAAAGAAATTGTCTTACAAACTTAAAGAAATAGCTTAAGAACAGTATTTTGACAAGAGTTTTCGAAAATATAGAAAAAGGGGCTATTTATAGCCTAAGGGAGAAAACCCTAGAAAGGTGGCAAAAGTGTAATTAAAAACAGGCTGGGTCAGTATCGGTCAGTTGTGTCGACCTCCAGTGACCAAAATTTATCAGTATCGGTCATCAGTGATCGACACACACGACCGAAATTAGAACGGTGTGTTTGTGTCGACCACATCAGGCCGATACTGGTGATCGATACTGCTCCATTTCGGTCACCAGAGACCGAAAATCACCAGGCTCTGACCGAAAACTTCTGCAGAGATCTTCTGCTTTGATCCTTCTTGCTCCCTTTTGTCCAGCTAGCCTCCTGGATCATTCCCAAAGCTCCTCCAAGCTCCTTTAAGCTCCAAAAGCTTTCATTACGGTAACTGATCTTCCTAATTATAGCGTGGACAGCTATTTTGACTTTACAGTCCCGTTTGTTCTTGCACACCCGTCCTAAATACAGCTCGTCCCTCTCGTATGCCACATCTAATATTACATTCTCCGTGCGATCCAAACCTGCGATAATTATCCAT